AACGAGACAAAGTTGCGACATTGCCGTAATCAACATTTTTTTTCCTTGATTATTATTGTCAAATATTATCTCAAGGATTCGTTTGTAATTCTTAGAAACGCTTTTGTTTTTTCCTGTCGCTCTACGAAACGATTTTGTGCTGCTGGTCTGTAGCGGATATACATATATATGTATGAGAGGGTGAATTCTTAGATATGATATACACACACGTAAACTTACGCACACACACATAAACACATAAATGTACTCACACACACACACACACACACACACACACACGCACACACACACACACACACACACGCCACACACACACACACACACACACACACACACACACACACACACACACACACACACACACACACACACACACACACACACACACACACACACACACACACACACACACACACACACACAACAACACACACACACACACACACACACACACACACACACACACACACACACACACACACACACACACACACACACTCACACACACACACACACACACACACACACACACACACACACACACACACACACACACACACACACACACAGACACACATATATGCATGCAACACATCTATCTATCTGTCTCTCTATCTACTACCTAATCTTTTATTTCTCTGTCTATTCCATTTATTTCTATATATATCTATCTCTCTACGTATATATCTATTCATCTATCTATCTACCAATGTCCATCAATCTATCTATCTATTTGTTTATCTATCTTTTAATCTATTATTTCCATCTGTCTCTCTATCAATCAACTTCTCTACCTTGTCAATCCATCTCTCTGACAGATAAACACACTATGAAACAAGCATTATTAAAAACAACAAAAAACAACAACAACAACAACAAAAAGCAACGAACCAATATCAGCTGTTTTTTTCCTGCGGTTCTACAACAACAACAACAACAACAACAACAAGCAACGAGCCAATCAGCTTTTTTTTATTATAGTTTCTCCTGCGGTTCGATTCGTCGTCGTTGCGTCACAAGGAAGTTTCGTCTCCGAGCCAACCTTACGTGCTGATGATGGCCGTGTTTACGTCGATATTTCGTGTCCAATGTCGGCGGGAATTTTGTTTTCGCTTCTGGCTGTCTTGGAGTTTTTTTTTTTTTTTTTTTTGGGGGGGGGGGCAAGGCGAGGGCGCATACATACATGCACGTTAAATCTCATGCACAGACACAAATACGCATGCATTCACGAACGAACGAACGAACGTATGAATGCACGCACGTACACACGCACGCACGCATACACACACGCACATACTTATATTTTCTCTCAAAGAGGGAAAGGAAGAGAACGAAAAGAAAAAAAGGAACAAATGTAGACGAAGAAAACGTAGCAGTGAGAGGAAAGAGAGAAAGAGAAAAAAAAGAGAGAAAGAGAAAAGAGAAGTAGACAAAATGGAACTAGGCCAAGAAGAAGGAAAAGGAAGAGGAATAGGACAAGAAAGAAAGAAAGAAGGATTAATGATAATGATAATAACAATGATGATAATAATGATAAAATAAATAAAAATAATAATGATAATAATAACGATAATGATAATAATCATAATCATAAGAAGAAGACGAGGAAGAAAAAAGAAGAAGAAAGGAAAAAGGGAAAAGAAAAAGGAGTAGAAATAGAGACGTATCAATACACAATTTTCCCTCAGGTGATGGTGTTTGCGCAGGTGACCCCCGCTCTCATAAACGAAGCTAACACGGGGGCAAAGGTTCCGCGATGACGTCATAGAGTACTTGAGGAGAGGGAGAGATAGAGAGGGAGGAGGGAGGGAGGGAGGGAGGGAGGGAGGGAGGGAGGGAGGGAGGAGGGAGGGAGGGAGGGAGGGAGGGAGGGAGGGAGGGAGGGAGGGAGGGAGGAGGGAGGGAGGGGAGGAGAGAGAGAGAGGGAGGGAGGGAGGGAGGGAGGGAGGGAGAGAAGAGAGAGAGAGAGAGAGAGAGAGAGAGAGAGAGAGAGAGAGAGAGAGAGAGAGGAGAGAGAGAGAGAGAGAGAGAGAGAGAGAGAGAGAGAGAGAGAGAGAGAGAGAGAGAGAGAATAGAAGAGATGGGAAGAGAAGAGAAGTGAAGAGAGATATAGATATATAGAGAAAGAGAGAGAAAGGGAAATGAGTGAAGGAAGGAGAGAGAGGCAGAGAGACAGAGAAACAGAAATAAACAGAGCAGACAGACAGATAGATTAATAGATAAATAGAAAAGAGAAATTGGAGTGACCCAGAAAGAATTTTTTTTTTTTCATAAAAGTCCTCATACAAAAGACATGTTCTTATTGCAAAAATAATTGTTAGCAAAAATATACAAGAGAAACATTGGCTTCTATTCATAAACTTTCACAGTAAATGAAACTTTCACAGTGAGCGAACTATAAGAACGACGAAAAAATACAAAAAACAGAAGAGAGAAAAGAAAAATGAAAATTCAAAAGAAGTGATTAACGATTTTTTTTTTTTTTTTTATCTGAGTTCATTTTGATTCAAATATGTCAGTGAAATACGGCATTAATATTTTAATCGTTTTTATTGTATTCTTCTCCCTCCTTTCCCCATTCTCTGTCTTCTTACATCTCGATCTCTCTCTTCTTTTTTTCTTTCTTCTCTTTCATCCTCTTCTCCCTCTCCTAATTTCTTTCTCCCTCTCCTACTTTCTTCTCCTTATCATATTCCTCCGCCTCCTTTTCTTCTTTAATCCTCCTCCTCGTCCTCCCCATCTTCCTCCTCCTCCCTTCCTCCTCCTCCCTCCTCCTCCTCTCCTCTTCCCTCTCCTCCTCCTCCCTCTCCTCCTCCTCCTCCTCCCTCCAAAAAAAAAAACGAAAATAAAAAGAAAGAAAGAAAGAAAAAAAACGGAAATGACGTAAAAAAAAGTTTGTCTCTCGGAAATCTTTTCTCGGGAAGGAAGTCTTTTTCGCTGACGTTCGCTTCGACGAACAAAAGGCGGGAGAGAGGAAAGGCTTTCTGAAGGCTTGGAAACGGAAAAAAAACGGAAAAAAGGCTCGAATTTCTTGGAAACCTCGATCGGTGAATAGTTCATATAACATACATACGCGAAGAAATATATATAATATATATATATATATATATATATATATATATATATATATATATATATATATATATATATATATATATATATATATATATATATATATATATATATATATATATATATATATATATATATTTTTTTTTTTTTTTTTTCTATCTCTCTGTCTATCTATATGTATATCTGCACATTATCTATCTGTCTCCCCGGCTGTTTATAGACAGACAAATGCTCTCTAGATCTCTCCCCATCTCTGTCTGTCTGTCTCTCTCTCTCCCTCCCTCCCCTTCCTTCCTTCCTACCTCCCTCCCTCTCTCCTCTTCCTTCCTTCCTCTCTCCATCCCCCTTTATCCTCCCTCCCTTCTCTCCCTCTTT